CGCTGGGTGAGCAGGACCTCTGACATGGGTCTCCTGACCTTGGGCTGGGCACCTGCAGGCCCGTGGGCTGCTGCCAGAGCCTTGGCCTTGGCGCTTGTGGCACAGACGGGAGCCCGTGGGCACAGCCGATGGCCTCAGGGAGCAGGCGTCCGGTGCACCTCACACGCTGGGAGCTTGTGCACCCGACCCTTCTCTTGCCTGATGGCTGACCAATGGTCGTGACCTGATGGGACCAGGCTGCCGGCTGTCCTGACATCCCTCACGGGTGGCTCAGGGTGTGAGGAGCCAGGCTAGAAGGCTGGTCTCGTAGCTGCTCCTGCAGGCAGCCTCTTGCAGGCTGAGCCCGGATGCTGCCGCAGCCATGACCAGGCTGGGCGTGGAGCAGCCACCCCACTGAAGGATACCACATTAATGGGAGCCATCTGTGTGGCTCTAATGACTGATTAAATGACTAATCACAGAAGTCTTAATTAAAGCCATTTTTCTCCAGGCCAAAGAGGGTGCCTATAGGGGGAGGCTCAGGTGGCCGCTGTGGGTCTGGCTCTGGGGGGTCGCTCAGCTGGCCAGGAGCCTACCTATGCAAGGTCCTTTGTGGTGGCCTGCCTGCACCCCCACAGGGCCAGGTCTGCATTTCTGAGCACGCACACCCTGATCCCCCCTGCTTCCAGGGCAGCCCCGCGTGCCTCCCATTTCTAGGGTATCCCTGTGTGCACTGGGAGAGGTGCCCCTGCTTTCAGGGTAGCCGCAAGTGCCTTGAGAGAGGTACCCCCACCCCACCCCCGCTTCCAGGGAAGGAACCCCGAGTGCGCTGGGCATGTCCCCGCCCGTCTCTAATCAAGTCCAGCCTTTGCAGCCGGCCTGGTTCACATGTTCAGGAACTGACAGGCTCTTTGTCACGGGGTGGAATTCCGTAATCCGACAGGAATGTCCCCCCACAGGAATGTGGCAGCCAGAGGCCTGGGAGGGGAGGGTCCCCTGTGAGGGGGCCCAGCCCCTGCAGCCTTCTGAGCAACCCCCCCTGAGACTGAGACACTCCGGCCTGTACCTTGAACCCCGCCCCCCCCACACACACACACCACACCCCCAGGCAAGCTGCTGCACTGCCACAGGCTGACGCAGAGCCCACTCTCAGAGGAAGTGGACGGGAGGGCAGGGACGAGACCCTCTGGCACAGAGCTGCAGGAGAACTACCAGACTGGAGCCCACTCCCCTGGCTGCACAGCCCGCTCCTTGGGGGCCGGTAGCAGCAGGCTCCTGTGGGGGAGAACACCCCCCCTCCCCCCGTTCCTGCTGGGCCGCCCCTGCGGGAGGGGGCAGTGGAGATGGTTCTCTGGCTTCCCGCTGTGTGCGGACTCCCTTCGCAGCCACCTGCATGCCAGCTGTGATGGGCCCTAAGGAGACCTCTGCCCCTGAGGTGCCAGTGGAGGGGCAGGGAGGCCACGGAATGTGAATGTCCCCCAAACGCCCTCCTGGTGGGCTGGGAAGGTAATGCTTCCTCACAGAGGCAAAGAAAGGAAAGCAGAATTTTTGCCTCAAAGTTTGGAACAAAAGGCAGTGCATCTCCCAGCAGCCACCCTTCTATGTAAATTAGAAAGCTGCTCAGCTCTGAAATTACAGGGTGTCGTCACCCTGAATCTCTGTGCAGGGGGCACCCTACCCGCTACTGCTATTGTTTGAACATCCCAGAGTGTGGGGCGGGAAGGTGCTGCCCATGTGGGCCAGGAGGTATTCACTTGGTGGTACAGTGAGTGAGTGAGGCGCAGGGGTGGGTCAACACAGAGGGGGACAAGTGATGGCTTGCCTGGTGGCCCAGCAGGCTGTGTCCAGCCCCTGGGCACTGAGGACCCTTGTGGTGGGTTGGGCTGGCTCCTGTTTAGGAAGCCAGAACTTGGCTGAACTTGGCTATGTGCCCACCCCCTTCCTGCCACAATAACCCCTGACCACACCCCAGGGTTCCATACACGTCAGAGGCCAAAGCTGCATGACCCCAGTAGACACTGGGAGGGAGGGAGGCCTGCCATCCCTCACCCTTCTTCAGTCATGCCTGGGGCCTGGAGCTGGCTCCCCAGCCAGGACAGTGGTCTCCTGGCCCTAAAGAACCATGTGGGGTGTCCCGGGAGTTGTCTTGGGGGAGGGGGCAGCAGGGAGCCCCTAGAGAGAGCCACCCTCTGGCTGGACAAGGGAGCACAGATACCACGGGGTCCCCATTTGAGGAAGGCTTGGGGGGTGGGGGTGGGGCAGATGGTTATTTCTTGGTGCAAGAGGCAGGCCCTCAGGTGTGGAGGGAAATGGCTGCAGGGCTGGGGCCCTCCCCACACCCAAGTCCGTGACACTAGTCTCCAGGCTGCATACATGCCCAGAGCCACCCCTGCAGGGGCCAGGGATGCCCCAGCCCCAAGCTCTGAACCTGGAGTGTGTGTGGGGGGGAGACTTTGCCAGGTGCCACCCCTCTGACCCCCCTTGACTGTTCAGGGGTGAGGCCATGCATATCCCGCCATCCCTTCTTGGCAAGCCTTTCTTAAATGCAAAACAGACACATGGGGCCCACAGACCATGTGCCTTTGGTTTGCCTGAGCCGCACTGTGGCCGGAGGGAGGGCCGTGTTCTCAGCATTCCAGAAGGTGCGTGCTTGCATGCCTGCTGGGGAGCCCAGCTCGGAGTCCCGCCCCCCCAACCGGCCGGACGGGGTGTCTGTTGTGGTGTCGGGGCCCAAGCCAAGAGGAGCCGGGCAGGGAAGGCCTTCAGGGCTCACACCAGCCCCCTCTGGACTAGTGACACTCATTGAGCATGTGTTGTTGGGGAAATCCACTCCAGGTCCAAAGCCCA